GGAGTCCATCTTCCACCGCGGCCACGAGCGCTTCCGCATTGCCAGCGCCTGCCTGGACGAGCTCAGCTGCGAGTTCCTGCTGGCCGGGGCTGGAGGGGCCGCGGCGGGGGCGGCGCCCGGCCCGCATCTACCCCCGCGGGGGCCGGTGCCTGTGGACCCCGTCCGCATCCACTGCAACATCACGGTGAGGACCCCGCGAGCGCTTCGGGCCCGGCCGGGGACTCGCGTCACCCCCAATCCTCTGCCCTCCGAGGACGTGTGGGGCCGGGGCCCCTCAGTCTGGCGGCCCCTCCGGGGCACACTGGGCTCTACTGCTGCGGTTTTGTCGCGCCCCGTAGCCACACGACCCGACGGCGAGGGCTGCCCCGACGTGCGGCGCCTCAACCAGCCCTTTGCACGAGCCCGCCCGCAGCCCGAGGGTCACACCTGGGCTCCTCGGGGCTGCCCGCCGCGTTAGCTGGCAGCTGGGGAGGCCCCCACTCCTGGGCCTGTGCGTGGCCCCAGCCGGAGGGACGCGGCCTGGAACTCGGTGCGTCTCGGCGGTGCCCCCTTCTTAGCGGTGCCTTTCACTTAAGCACTTTGCCACCTGTGCGATCCCTACGCGGGCATCTCCCTCTGGCAGCCCCTCTTTGCTCTCTGATCTGCGCCAAGTGATAGTTTACACTTTGTTCCTCCTCTTCTCTCCTGTGGATTCCCTTTTATTTGGGTGTAACCTCTAACTCTCCTAGCCTCACCCTGTAGCAGTTCTGCCACTCCCCTCCCTGTCCCCGTGGATGTGTCCAGTTGCCCAGGGTTGTTGTCTCCTGGGTGAGGGTACTGGGACGTGGGGTCGCCGGTTTGACCTGGTAACTGCCGGTGCCACTTGTCACGATGCTCCCACTCCACCCTGTGCCCTGGTGCTCCTCTGCCCGGACCGTCCAGCCTGTCCTGTCTGCCTATTCTGTCCCGTCCGCTTGTCTGCTGGGTCTGCTCCTTTGCCGGTCCGTTTGCCCAGTCTGCCCTCAGATGCTCCCTGTGCAGAGGTTCGACCTCTGCTGATGCGGGTTCGCCTGGCATCTTAGGCACAGACCCTCAGTGTCAGGAGGGTCTTCTTCCTGCTGGTTGCAGCAGCCTGAATGGGAGTACCCTATGGAAAGGTGGACATGTGGATTCTGTGGCTCTGGGGGGCTTGAATTCAACTCAGTGGTGTTTTCTAGTAAAGGTTGGTGGGATAAACATCAGCTTAGGTTGAGTGGTACCCCACCAAAGCTCACAGTCCCATTTCTTTCTTTGTCCATCCCCATTCTATTTTCTCTGAAAAGTTCAAAATTTAAGGACTAGGAATGATTTAGTCAGGTGAGGACTTAAGCATCTTCAGTAATCATTTTTCTTCCAATGTGAAGGGTTAGACTAAGGGGAGAGCTGAGATCTCCAGTAGATGAGGCTTCCTTGGCATGTGTGGAAACCGCAACAGTTAATTTTCTCAGCTGAGCTAGTTCCTTAGAGGTAGGTTTGCCCCATCCAGTTGTCCTTTCAGGTCCCAGAAGTCTTTGTTGCTGGCGTTTGAGGGTCCTCAACCAGATTCCTGGCCTCTGTAAAGGAGACTTGACCAGAGCCAGCCCCCGTGGTTTGGGCAGAGGGGAAGTCTGGTCCAGCTGCATTTGGCACTACAGCTCAGGAATGCAGGGAATGCGGGCAACGTGGGCGCCCCTCTCTGGCCTGTCCGTGGAGTCCTACAGCCCACGTCTGGACTGAGAAGGTGGCCGGTTCCCGAGGGAGGTGGGAGACTTGGCCTTTGAGGGGCTCTGTTGGGAGTGTGTGGGGACACTCATCCTAGTACCTTTTACTCTTGATAATTTTTATTCTCTGCTTGTCTCACGTTAGTGTGACTATGATGAGGTGATCCCTTTCCCACTGATTCTAGAGTTAGAAAAGCAGAGGGTTGAAGGACTCTGACCTCAGTTGGAGGGAACTTCGGTTCTGGAGCTTGTGTAGGCAGTACGGGGACTGGAGTCTTCCTCCGGTGAGCAGTTGAACTATGCTGGTTTGTACTCTCAAGGAAAGAGAGAAAAGGTGCCAGGTTGCTGCTTGGAAAGGGTCCTCCTGGGGACTGTTTTTCATCCAGTTTAGGATTTGTTTGGAAGCTCCTTGGTTAGATACTGACCTAAGCTAAGCTTTTTTGTGCAGGGGGTAGGGATGGAAAGGCAAAGAGACTGGAAGTTTAGAGGGTAGGGGGCAGGCAAAATCTTTCTCCAGAGTGGCCCATTTTGACCTCTCTGCTTTTTTCCCTCAGGAGTCGTACCCTGCTGTGCCTCCCATCTGGTCGGTGGAGTCTGATGACCCTAACTTGGCTGCTGTCTTAGAGAGACTGGTGGACATAAAGAAAGGGAATACTCTGGTGAGGGGGCCATGGGTGGGGCCACATTTATTTCTCTGGGGCCCACAGGACTCTCCCCAAAAGGGAGTTAATTCTGGACAGTGGGTGGTGCAGTGGGCCAGATGCTTGGGGCAGGCCTCTTAGGGGAGTTGCTTGCTAAAGTCAGAGGAATCCCTGCACCAGCCTCAGGATTGATTTTCTAGGAGACTCATTCCCACAGCTATGTGATCCATAGGCTTAGAAAACTAGGTGCCAGGTGAGATCTTAGCTAAGAGCTCATCCACACACCTGTCCAGGTTGGAGTGGGGAAGGAGTATGTGATGTTTCTGTACCCCCTGCCCCCAGCTGTTGCAGCATCTAAAGAGGATCATCTCCGACCTGTGTAAACTCTATAACCTCCCTCAGCATCCAGACGTGGAGATGCTGGATCAGCCCTTGCCAGCAGAACAGGTGAGCAGCTGTGGAGCTATTGGCCTTGTGCACAGCTGCTGCACAGAAGGCAGCCAGCAGATGTGGAGTGAACGAATCTGCACGGTACCCCACCTGCCCCAGACACACAGCTTAATTCTCATCCTGTTTCTCCTCCAGATGGGAGTCTAGTTAAATGGGTCACCAGTAGGTTTATCTCGCCTATCAAAAGTTACTCTCATGGGCAGTGTCCTTCATGCTGAGAGGGAGGGAGAATTTTCACAATTAGCTATGGCAGTTGGTGTCTATTGGAGACCCAGGTCCCTTGTTGAGAACGAGAATGTAATGTCAGTCTAGAAAAGATCAAGTAAAGGAGGGTTCTGAGAAAACTAAAGCTGAGATTTGTTGGGTAGGGGATGGAAACAGCCATTTTGCTTCTCTCTTGTTCTTTGGCATATGGTAGGAAGAGAATGATGGGGTGGTAGCAGAGTTCTTCCCTGGACTGTTCCCTCCACTCAGGTCTGGCTGGTGTGGAGACTGGTGGCATTTTGAGGGCCCGAGGTAGTAGGTCAGAGGCTATATTCTAGTGAGCCACTGGGATGCTGATGTCTGTCTTCCCCTCCCCACTGCAGTGCACACAGGAAGATGTGTCTTCAGAAGATGAAGATGAGGAGATGCCTGAGGTAGGCTCACTTGAGGTGGTACTGGCCAGAAGCTCTTTTAGTCAACAGTGTTGATCACTCACTATATCACTCACTATATCCAGAACTCCAGTCTAGAAGTGGGGAGAGAAAAATGTCAAAGGAATAAAAACAGATTTACTCATCTGAAGGAACAACCTATGGTAGAGGAGATGGGTCACCCTTATCCAATGAGTGAAGACAGGTGCAAATTTTTTCAAACCAGACATTTTATAAGCTAAGCTTAGATGACTTTAGAGTATGGCAGACTTGAGTTTACATCCCAGCTATTGGGGAGTTTTACCTAATCTCATGAAGCTGAAGTTTTGTTATCTGTGAAATGGGTTTATAATACTTGCACCATATTGGTTATCTGAAGGTTAAGTGAAATATTGCACATGAAATGCTTCCTATGATACATAAGTACTAACTTATTTATCTGGTGTATTCTCTAAAAACATCCTTTTGTAGAATATAACATAATGGTTAAGAATTTGAGCTTTAGGCTCAGCATCTGTTGCTTAGTGGTTAGGGCGCCGGCCTCATAGATCAGGACTGGAGGGTTCAAACCCTTCCCGAGCCTACTAAGCAACAATGACAATAACAAAAAAAATAGCCAAGCATTGTGGTGAGCACCTGTAGCTACTTAGGAGGCTGAGGCAAGAGAATTGTGAACCCAAGAGTCTGAGGAGGTTGTTATGAGCTGTGAACGTCCAGCACTCTACCAAGGGCAACATAGTGATACTCTGTCTCAAAAAATAAATAAATAAATAAATAAAAATAAAAAAAAAATTTGAGCTTCAGAGCCAGACAGAACTTGATTGAAGTCTTAGCTCTGCTGTGAGTTCTGTGACTTTAATCATGGTAATTTTATTTAGACCTCAGCTTTCTCTGTAAAATGGGGATGATAGAATAATGATGTGGTGGTTGAAATAATGAAATGAGCCAGTCTAGAGTAGCTAGTACAGAATCTGACACATAGTAAACATTTAGTAGATGTTAGCTGCTAGTGTAATAATCAGGTTAGTGTGTCTTGTCAAAGCCCAGGAATCAGGAATCACTTTATTTCCTAGCATTGGAGTAATGTCCCAAGTTCTGTAACTTTGTAACGGTCTTAAGACCAACAAAGGACTGGTTACACATGAAACTTCTTCCAGAGGAGACACTCCTCTATGCCACACCTCCAGTATTTGACTGAGGGGCTGAATGCTGGACGGAGCTCTCCTCTTCCCCCCATGCCCAATGAGCTACTCGCTTACTTATAGCAGAGAGCAGGATGAATGAGGAGCTAATTTCATCCTGGTCTCTAATCCCCTCTCTGGACCTCCTCTGCCACCTCTATCTTGGCGGTGGGTGCCTTGGCGTACCTGATTCACACCCTGCATTTGTAGGGAGGGGAGATTAGTGATCCAGGTTTCTCTTTTAGACCTGGGCCTTGAGGACTCCTGGGTACAATAGTCACCTGGTGAAACATGATATTTGAATCACAGTGTCAGGCCCAAATCATTCTGCTGGGGATTAGGGAAGAGTTTCTGCTTCCAAGGTAGAGTCTTAGGAATAGTTGGAGTGGGGTCAGTCTAGAGAACCAAAGGGTCTTTTAGCTCCCTGGTCCTCACTGCAGCTCTGTGGCTGCAACTGGAAAACTGACCAGGAACAGTTATTTCCCTCATATTTACACTGTGAAGGGACTGGGCCTGGGAATTGTCCCAGAAGCAAGGAATATTTGTATGACTGCTGGATAGTCTGTTGCACCTTAACTTTTGGCTCTTGGCCAGATGGGCCTGGAGGTGACAGCCCTTTTGCACTATGTATTTATTCCTTCTCTGTCTCACTCCCACCCAACACCTTCTCTAGGACACAGAAGATCTAGATCACTATGAAATGAAAGAGGAAGAACCGGCTGAGGGCAAGAAATCTGAAGATGATGGCATTGGAAAAGAAAACTTAGCCATCCTAGAGAAAATTAAAAAGAACCAGAGGCAAGATTACTTAAATGTACGTGCCTTCTAGGGAGAGGTTGCGTGAGAGGGTTGGTGGGTACTGGCTGAACATTGTCAGGCCGAGGCATGTCAGTGCGGGAGCATACTCCTTTTATTCATGTGCCTCATCTTTCCCTGAGTCCTGGGAAAGCTTCCACACTGCCCCTGATGTGTGTTTCAAACTATACCCCTGAGGAACATTCCTGCCATCTGTCTTCCTCAGGGTGCAGTGTCTGGCTCGGTGCAGGCCACTGACCGGCTGATGAAGGAGCTCAGGGATATTTACCGATCACAGAGTTTCAAAGGGGGTGAGTTTGCCCCAGAGAGGGGGCCTGCGTGGGAGTTTCTCAAAGGAAGGATGTGGTGGAAGGCTAGGGGTGCTGGGGCATGTGAACGCTCATGAACTTCTTAGGCCAAGAATAGAGCTCCTCAAGCCAAGTGGCTCAGACTGGATGCGTGTACATCTGGGGTGAACCTGGAGCCATTGGTCTTCTCTCAGTTTGGGAAGGGGAGCTGCATTTGGAACAGTCTCCAACTGGACCATCCTACACCCATCTTCCTTCTTCCTTCCTTCAGGAAACTATGCAGTTGAACTCGTGAACGACAGTCTATATGATTGGAATGTCAAACTCCTCAAGTGAGTGGCGGGGGGCGGGTTGGACTGGGGATAGGTTGAGTGTGGGTGAAGCCCAGTAGTGGGACCTCAGGGCAGTTTTGTTGGTGTCCTTGCTGAAGACTTCCAGTATGAGTACGAGCAGTGGGAGCCCATAGGAGGCTCCTGAGCTGGGCCAGGCAACTAAGTCCAGACTCTTTGCTTCATAGGGTTGACCAGGACAGCGCTTTGCACAACGATCTCCAGATCCTCAAAGAGAAAGAAGGAGCTGACTTCATCCTACTTAATTTTTCCTTTAAAGTAAGACAGTTTTTCCTTCTATGGTCTAGGCTTCTCCATTTGCCGTGCAGTCCTGTGGAGGACGCTGGCTTCCCTTCCCTGACCGTCATCTCTGTCTCTTTCTCAGGATAACTTTCCTTTTGACCCACCATTTGTCAGGGTTGTGTCTCCAGTCCTCTCTGGAGGGTGAGTGGCTGGGCATGAGGGAGAGGGCAACTCCTGTGGCAGAGGATTGGGGAAGGAGCCTGGAGCTTTTGCCAGGCACAGCTGACTGACCTTTCCCATGTAGGTATGTTCTAGGCGGAGGTGCCATCTGCATGGAACTTCTCACCAAACAGGTGAGCCTGTCACTCCCCTTGGCAGGGCTGGCCTGGACAGGGAAAGCTGAGCTTGACCACACACGTACCCAGTGGGTTGATTGATATACATGATGTGGGTCTTCCATTCTGCTGGGCAGGGCCTGCCTGCTCCTACCTGGTGGTACCTGTCCTGGAGTGCAGGGTGAGGGCCCTTATGCAGATGCAAGTCTCTAAAGAACAAGCAGAAAGTTTTCTGGAAAGCTCATCCTCCTTGCTTACTCTGTCCCTCTGTCACCTAGGGCTGGAGCAGCGCCTACTCCATAGAGTCAGTGATCATGCAGATCAGCGCCACGCTGGTGAAGGGGAAGGCGCGTGTGCAGTTTGGAGCCAACAAAGTGAGGGGCTGGATGTGGAGCACTGGTTGCCTGTTAGGGACTGAGGATAAGTCCCCAGGGTTGGTGGCCTTGGATGGGAGGGCCTAAGGAGCACCTTAAAGTTTGGGGTGGGGGGTGTACAGGTCTGGAAAAGGGAGCTGTGGGACTGTGCTCTTGAGGGACTTGCCAGATGGAGGGGACTTAGCATGTCCCCAAACAGAGCACAAGACTAGGAGCTGGGACTCCTGGGTCTCTGGGTGGAAGGTGAGGGCAGGAAGGCCAAGGCTGGCCATGGCTTGATGAGGCGGCTTCCTTTCCCAGTCTCAGTACAGTCTGACGAGAGCACAGCAGTCCTACAAGTCCTTGGTGCAGATCCACGAAAAAAACGGTGAGGCTGGAGCCAGGACTCAGGAGATTTGGACACTTGCCAGGCCCCATGTTTTCACTTCTAGCCAAAACCCCCTTTTGGTTTCTGAGACTGACCACCCACTAGCACAGCACCTGCCCAGGGCTTCAAAGAGGGGTGGAGGTGGCTTGTGTCTATACCTCCTGTCCTGAAGAGACCACAGCACATCCCGGATGGAATTGGTGCTATCCCTTCCTGGCACCCTTTGAAAAAACTCAGCTAACCCTGTCATCTCCTGTGGGGCACGTCATCCTCCCTGTTTTATCATCTCCAAGTAGGCAGTTTCTCAGCTTCCTGTACACCCATCCCTGCACTGGGTGGCCCATTTGGGGGCTGGGAGGGCTGCCTCGGCCTCAGCCTCCACCTCCCTGACTGCTCGCTCTGTTCTTGGCAGGCTGGTACACACCCCCAAAGGAAGACGGCTAACCCCGGAGCATCATCCCTTCCTCCCTCCCCAGGCACCACTGGACCAATTACCTTTGAATGCTGTATTTGGATCTCACGCTGCCTCTGTGGTTCCCTCCCTCATTTTTCCTGGACGTGATAGCCCTGCCTATTGCAGGACAGTGATGGCTATTCTAAACGCTAAGGGAAAAACACAGAACTGTTCCAAGTACTCAAGACTGACTTACAGACCAACCACCTTGCTGGAACCCTTGCTAGCAGGCATTCTTATAAAAGAAACTTTTGAGCCTCCTTATATTGCTGGAAACTCAGCTGTGCTCCAGACTAGAGCCTCCTTACCTATGCTATGGATTTTTAATTTATTTTCTCTTATTTCATGTACACTGCTTTTTTTGGTTACAGTGTATGATGGATGTGTATGAAAAAAATGTATCTTTGGGAAAACAATTACAGTTTGTTAATTTGAAGATGCTGGTCTTGACTCATCTTTATTTTTATTCCCACATCCCACCCCATCCCCTGAACTGCTTGGGAGGTGCGGGAGGGGTACCAGTCTACCATCGCTGTGGTAGAGATGAGACAAGCTGTGTTTTGCTGCTAAAGCTCGAAAATCATGGAAGCGAAGCTCACACCTGCCACCCCTAACCACCTCCTGAAGGCCTCTGGAGCAGCCAGCACTTGTGCCCCATGGATCGCAAAGCCAAGCCTGCTAAGCCACAGCATAGTAGGCTGAAACGATCTTAGTTCTTAGGACTACTTTTCTAGTCACAGATGCTTTCAAATTTCTAAGAAAAAGAAAATGAGGCTCAAGAGGCTGCTTCATAGAATTCCCTTGGAACGAACTGCATGAATGGGGACAGCCTCTCTGGCGCAGGGTCTGCTCTGACCTCAGTGATGCGCTGTGTAGCTACGATGCCTCGGTGTTCGCTGGTCATTCTCCCTCCTGGAAAGTGACTGTTAACCTAGCGGCTGGACAGCGATCACTGGTAAGGTTTGCTCACCTTCCTCTTGTCTCTTGCTTGCTTTGGTATTGTAAAAGAAGACAGGTATAGCCCTCAAGTTGTTTGGCTTAGGGAATTGTGGAGTCTTTAAAGCCACTCCCACAAGGTGGGGCTTAAGGTGGTTCTGTGCACCTGTGTCCTCATCCCAGGCTTGGGTGCTGCAGGGAGGGAATGTGAGGTGAGGTGTTTGCACAGACACAGACCTGTAGGAACTATGTTGTCCCCACCTGCTGCTGTGAAGGTCTCCAGACTGTACCCAGCAGGTGTTGCTGTGACTCCCTGTCAGTAGCCTGCTTAGGGCCGGGCAGCCTCTCAGGACCAGCTGTGCCTAGGGATCTAATAAGGCCAAAATGACAGAGGCCAGGATGGCTAAGTGGAGAGCTAAGTTTTGGGAAAGCTGCCTGGGAGCCTGGAGAGTGCTAGAAGAGTTTTAATGCTTTGAGCACAACTTCAACTTTGGTCATTTCTTCCCCCCTTTTCCTTTGAGGGATGTTAACTTCTTGCTGCTTTAGGTGGCTGCAGAGTCCACCAGCCCCACTCAGTGCTGCTCTGACTCTGCCACACCCACCTGATTAGGGTGCTAACGCGCACTGAGGCTGCGATGTCGAGGGACTTATGGGGAAGACCCTCTACAGAGTGAAATCTGGGTGTTAAGGCCTCTGTGCTTTCTTCTGAACTCACCAGCCTGGGCTGGAATGTAGATTGTGTTTTCAGTAATGTGTACTGTGAGCTGTCCTCTGTATGATGTATTTTGTAATGTATTTTTTCTCATCTACCAAAGGATGAAACAAATAAAATTATTTAAATATTTGGCGCTAATAAAATTATTTAGAGAAATAACAGGGTTCATGCTTAGCTGACATGAAGGAAAAGGCCACTCCTGTGAGGTGTAGGTACCAACTCTGAGAACCCTCCTTTTTTCTGCCAAGCCTAACACTCCTTTTCATGACCTTAAGTTTAGGGTTCTGATAAAATACAAAGCATCAAAGACAATCAAGGCAGTATCATAGCTCACTGGTTAAATGCTTACCACCTGATTTCTACATGGAAGCCAGGAAATCCAGCCTGGGTCTCTCTGTTCCCCAGAATGTGCTAGGAGCACTAGCACCGTGCTCTAGGGTAGAAGGAAAAGAGGTGGGAAGAGCACACTGCTGTGCAGGCTGTGAGCCAACTGCAGCGTCTGTGTCTGGCTGTCTTTGCTGAGACTTTGCTGTCTTTTTTGAGAGGTGAGCTGGGCTCAAGGCAAAATGGAAATTAATCCTGGGCACAGTGTGGCTCTTTTCACCTTCAAGGTCTCAAGAGTGAAAAGGAAAGAGAGGGCAGGGCAGGCCGGCTCCTAGCCCAGGGCAGGCAGGAACAGGAGGGAGCATGCTGAGGATGGCCCCATCATTAAACTCTTCACACTGCAGTATGTATGGCTATAAGAGAAAGTGGAAGTTTTGGTGGGAAGGGAGACTATCCCCAGCCAGTCCATCCAGCCTCTTGGATAACTTCAGTTTGTTCTAATGTAAGGCAGCAGTTCTCAACCTGTGGGTCGTAACCCACAGGAACTGTATTAAAGGGTCATGGCATTAGGAAGGTTGAGAACCACTAGTGTAAGGAAAGGCTAGGTAGTAAATACACAGTTCAGGCCTCACTACCTGCAACTGATGTCCCTAAGGGTGAGAATGCGGAGAGAGCAGCCAAGTTAGACCAGGGCAGTCACTTCCAAGCATTTGACAGACAACCTCCCATGAACTCAAAATGTCTGCAAGACAAATCACAGCAACAAACCTCAGCAGCGCTTGGCTGGGCAGGAGGAGCAAAGTGGGCTGAGCTGTGGGTTGAGGGCTCTGGCTGCTGGCCAACTCCAACCAGCCACCTCTGCTAACCCGGGATGATCCGAGGAGAGAAAGGCTGAGGGAAGGGTTGGTGGAGGACACAGTAAGAGCAGGTAGGAGGTGGTGGAGTCACTGATGTCTTCACATATTTACAGGAATTTGGGAGAAATTCTACTGGGGACAAAAAACTGTTTACTCTGAGGGTTTGGCTGGAGAGATAGGTTAAAAAGCAGAGAGAGGCTGGGTGAGGTGGCTCACACCTGTAATCCTAGCACTCTGAGAGGCCAAGGCGGATGGATTGTTTGAGCTTATGAGTTCAAGACCTCGTCTCTGCTAAAAATAGAAAAACTGAAGCAAGAAGATGCCTTGAGCCCAAGGGTTGGAGGTTGCTATGAGCTATGATGCCACGGCACTCTACCCCAGGCAACAACAGCTTGAGACTGTCTCAAATAAATAAATAGAATTTTAAAAAGCAGAGAGGTTTCCCCATGAAAAGTACTCACACACTGGACCAAGCCACAGTGGAGAGTTGTCAAAAATCTTTCCTCCAAGAGGTGTCCCTTACTCAGCTCCTCTCATCCCACCATCCCCAAACCCTGGAGCTATTTGTATGCATGAAACGTGCTGCTTTCAGAAGTCAGACCCATGTTTCACCCCCAGCTATGCCATTTCTTGCTATAAAATAATGAGGAAGGTCTTTTCACTTTTCTGAACCCTATTTCTCTTATCCATAAAGGCAAGAAAATAGTGCACCTGCCTGCCTGACAGCACTGTCTCAAAGCTCCACAGGAAGGGAGTACCCTTCCCCCAGGGTCACCAGGCGGGCCCCTCTGACAGGCTAGGGCAGGAGCCTCCTATACTTGCTGCCTGCTGCTCCTGCGTCTTGGGCAGTTGGGACCGCCTCCTGCAATTACCCGAGATGACCTCTGGGTGGTGCTCCCTGCCTACTCAGCTCTAGCCGCCAAACTCCCAGGGAACCTGGGACTTTTCTATCCTACCTGGTTGAGAGAGAGAGAGAAAGAGAGAGAGAGAGTGTGTGTGTTCATCTCTACTTCTCCTGATCCCCCCAAATATTCTTTCATCCTTTGCAGTTTCACCTAACCTCGACCTTGAAGTAGACACTGAGGCCCTCACAGGGTCCAGGGCTAATGCATGGCACAGAGAAGATGCCAAGTCCAGCATCTGTCAGGGGCTTTCAGGTGCTTGGTGTCCTCCACAGCAAAATCCTTTCCCAAATGAAATCTTAAGCAAAACTGAGAGTACATAAAACAGATGAAGCTGAGTGGGCCCTGGCCTGCCCCACTCAGCAACTGGAGAACGCAGCCCTTGGGTGGCACCTGAGGTCCCTCTAGCCATCTTGGGGCTCCAGAGCCCAGGTGTGAAAACCAGGGCTCAAGAGGCAGCTCTGCTGGGGCAGATGCTGAGAACTGGGGCTAAAAGGAAAGAGCAGAGGCAGGAGGGAACCCTGAGAGTCTCTGCTGTCTAACACACCACCACCCCCACTTGGGTCCTGGAGGCAGCAAGGGCATCTACTGTCCCTGAAACTTTCTCCAGCATAAATGGCTGAGCCAGAGGTGGGATGGTTCAGAAGCTGTCACAAAGACAAACCGGCCAAAATCAAAGAATATGACCATAGCCCAGATGTCCACTCTGTCCAGCACCCAGCACCTGGCCAGAAGGAAGGAGGGAGATGGAGAAAGGTTGTTCTACCCAATACCAAGCACAGCCATCCTCAACTGAGAGGGCTTGAAGGTGGAGGCAGGAGAGGGAGAGGCTGTCAGTCTGCTCTTTTCCCCTCCTCAGGTAGGGGATGGTAATAAGCACAGAAGATTCTGGAACAAACCAGAGCCCAAAGGAGGATAGAGGGAGGGAGGGAGGGGCTTTCAGTGACTGCCCAGGTGATACTTTGCCAGACAGCAGGACCCACACTGCCCGGCCGAGTCATCCAGGCACTGGGCAGTGCTGCTTGTTTTGGCACAGAGTCTGGGTTGCACAGCATCGGGCCTCACTGCCCGCGCTGCATCACACTCCTGCACCTGCAGACATCCCTGCTATGTTAGCAACACCACCTGCCCCCAAGGAGCACAGCAGCAAGACAGGGAAAAAATGAGGCTGAGAGCCAAGGATCAGACTTCTCTGCCACTGACCGGCCCCTGTCACCCTGCCAGCCTAGGAAGGCTCTACAAGAAGGCACAGAAGGCTCCGCGCCTGTGGCTCAAGTGGCTAAGGCCACATACACCTAAGGTGGCGGGTTCGAATCCAGCCTGGGCCCACCAAACAACAATGACGGCTACAACCAAAAAATAGCTGGGTTTTGTGGCAGGCACCTGTGGTCCCAGCTACTTGGGAGGCTGAGGCAGGAGACTCGCTTGAAACTCGCTTGAACCCAGGAGTTGGAGGTTGCTGTGAGCTGTGATGCTACGGTACTCTACCCAGGGGCACAGCCTGAGGCTCTGTCACAAAAAAAAAGAAGAAGAAGAAGGCACAGAAGCCCCAAAGGACCAGCCTGTACATCAGTGATGTGCATGGCTCAGAGAAACGGGGTCTGAGGGGTGATGCTGGTCAGCAGCCCCATCGCACCATGGTGTGGGTAGGGCAACGGCCCAGGCCTGGCAGCACTGCTATGGGAGCAGCAGGAAGGGTCAT